AGGGAGGCTTCGCAAATGCGAAGCTGGAGAAGAGGGGCGGATGTCGCATTTGCGACTGAGGCATCGCATTTGCAATGGGGAAAGGGGAAAGGGAACTGGTCGCATTTGCGACGGATGTCTCGCAAATGCGAGGGAATGCAGGACACACAGGCTTCGCATTTGCGAAGCTTCTCTCGCAAATGCGAAAGTTGCAGAGGGATACCAGAACTCTAACCCAAAACACTCCGAACCACTTTCGAAAACACTCCCGAGCCCTCGGGGCTCCCAACCAACCACTCACACTTACTCAAAAACATCCTACGAACTCGCTCGAGCGATCAAATCGCTAAAATAACATCAACATCATGGAATTAAACCAAGAAATTCATAAATTTCCAATTTTGACTTCAATTTCTCAATTTAGCTATTCGGGTCCGAAACACGTCAAACGACGTCCAATTATAACCAAACTTCACAGGTAGCGCTTAAACGCTATATAAGACCTGTACCGGGCGTCGGAATCAAAATACGAGCCCGATACGATATTTAAAAATCAAATATTCATTTTCAATTTCTCAAAACATTTTCAGAAACTATTTTTACAGAAAATTCCGTATCTTGGGCCTGGGACCTCGGAATTCGATTCCGGGCATATGCACGAGTCCCAAATTTTATTACGGATATTTAGAAATTATAAAATCACGGGTCCGGGCCCGTTTTCCCAAAATGTTGACCGGAGTCAACCATATTAATATTATACTTAAAATTTAGCATTTAAATCACAGATTTCAACTTACATATTACAAAATCTTTCCGGCTTCGTGCCCGAACTGCGCACGCAAATCGAGGCAACCCCTCAAGAGGTTTTCAAGGCCTTAGAAGCACGGAACAAGGAGCTTTTACGGTGATGACCCCATTGGGCCGTCACATCCGGTCTCGGAACTAGAGCAACATTCGGACCAGGAACATTGGCAGGAGGGTCAAAGGCACCCTTAGTCGTGGCTGGAGCTGGACTATTTGGGTCAGGAATGGATGGAGCTAGCAAGTTCAGAATAGGAGGGTCACTCACTTCCACGACCTCCGGCACACTATTCGCAGCCGCACTGGATGTGGCATTGGCCCCTAGGTCGAATCTAGCTTTCTTCTTAGGTGCCATAATTGAAAATTAGAAATAGAGCACGAATTAGACACAACATCACCTTATCGCACGAACTTGGAATAACAAAGAAGAGAATAGTTTCCTAAATGCCCGTGTAGCCCCCAACTAATTAGATGCGGTCGACCACACACCGATAAGAAGGGCTCTACTTGGCACGGCTCCGAGACATCCTAGGACACTTTAAAACCTTAGGCTCCGATACCAAATTTGTCACACCCCAAAATCGAGGAACGTGACCGGCGCTCGACCAGGTATCCCCAGTCAAGCGGACTTGGGTGTCTTTTCCTGTCCCACGTGTTACCCCGCTTATTCATTATTTATAAGCCTAGTGAAATAGCCATTTATAATTGAAACACTTTTTACAAACATACATAACATACGTGGTCCTTAACGTTGTTTACAACTTACATCACCCAAACATACGAAATACATATTTACATAGATTTATAACCCACATTCCTGTCTACGGAGCCTCTAAAGATGAAAAAGTGATAATATAGAACTTGTAACAAGGCTCCAGCTATAACATCAAAACAAGGTCTTGAAATAAAAACGACATAAGCCATGAAGGACCCCGAATGAAAAGGGGCTCACCAACTCAGCTAATAAGAAGTGATGAGTAGCTATGGTCGATGGACTGGAGTGCCTGCCACGGATCCACCTACAATCATAACATTAATGTAGCGCCCCCGGCAAAAGGGACGTCAGCACATTTGAATTGTTTTGGTATGTATGAACAAACCTTGTCCCAAGTAAACTCAAGCAAAAATATGCATAAACAAATAGATAACTGAACAACAATGAAAACATCAACCAAACACTTCACAACGAACTGTTCAATTAGCCAAACAAAGGGACAATCAGTGCCCCATGAGTTTCAAACTCTCCTGCTGTCTCCTTTCACATTTCACATTGATCACTTTTAAGTTTTAATTCGTTTCATTGTGATATCAAATCACATTTTCACCCTTATTACCTCGGCCACCCTTATTACCTCGGCCACTCTTATCGCCCCAACCCACACCTTATTTCACCGTATTGCGGCGTGAAACCCGACCCCACCTGATAGTTTCAATTTACAAACAACAAACATCATAATAACAATTTCAAAGAATTAACAGTGCCACTTACTAGAAAGTAATTACAACGAGAGGTAAGATATTCCACAATTGATCAGCAATAGTTTTTCTCATGTTCAACAGTTTATTCGCAATTTCATATTGCCATAATATTTTCATTTCCACCTTTCATGAACCATTTCAATTTCAATTTCCTTAAATTCTACCACAAGATGTTACCACATGAATATCACACAATAATTCCCACATAGGCTTCGAGTAACAACAATTTCACGTGCCAACACATGGGCGATTTCACAAGATTCAGAGTTAGTCATACATACCTTGTTTAAACTTTCCTTAAGTTACTACGTCGTTTTGGAAATTCTAGCACTCCCAATCTACTTCAAACATAGCAAAATTTAACACAAATTAGGAAGCCATTCATGGTTTCAGCTCATTTGAGCATTTTATCAAACACTAGATGAGCATCTTAATTAATAACCCTCTTTTATAAGATTTCTTTCATTACCTAATCCAATCTTTACCTATTTGTGTTCATCAATCTTCCCAAAATCCTAATTTTAACATACGAGTATACATAATACAATTATACCAAGAATAATACCCTAAAAACCCATCTCATAATTTATACAATAACTATGTAATTATATGAAGAATTTATAGATTCTAATAACCATCCCATGAGTTCTAATGTATATATCATACATAAATAATCACCATAGAGTAGTTAGAGATGATAGACATACTTCTTGTAGTAAGAATGTAAGAATCCACACTTCTGGTGTTCTTGAAGAATTCAAGAATTTGAAGGAAAATCAAAGGATTTAAAGATTAATCCTTGTTAGCATAAGGATTTAGGGGTTAGAAATCACTCAAAGGACTCAAAAAAACTTACCTTGGATATTGGAGGAGTTGAAGGTCTTGAGAGAGTAAAGAAGACCCAATTTTTCGTGTTCGGATGATACAAATGAAGAAATAAGATGACCCTTCGGTTTTTACACAAACTAGGGGCATTTTATGAATTTTCCAAGTATTCCCGCAAAACTAGATCATCACAAAACTCCTTATATAATTGGAGATATGGTCGTTCAAAGTGAGGTCATGTGCACATTCATTCACAAATTTTTGTCAAATCTGAAATTTTCCAACTTGGCTTTGACTTAGGCTTTTCCTTAGACCCCAATTCACCTCTAATATGACTTATATGCTTGTTAACATAACCAATTGATATTCCTCATATCAATAACCCTCATTTGCACACGAAATAAAATATTAACCTAGCTTGGCACGACGAAATCTCAATTTACTTGAAAAAACATTTTCTGGGGCCTTACAATTATGTGAGGTAAAGCACGAAGAGTAATACAAGTACTTTATATGATTGATTTGGCGAGAACGAGAGTAAAAGCACGAAGGATGGTGTCGTACAACTGTTGATTTCTTACTCTCGTCGATGTTATAATTGTGCAGTTTCATTCATTCCTTATTTAATGTTTCTATATCTGAACTGTTACTTCCCCTACAGAATGATCCTCTCCCTCCTAGACTGGTTAACTTCTATAATTCTATTTTGTTGCACCTACATATATTGAATTGCACAGGTTTGATTGGTAGTCTGGTCCTAGCCTCGTCACTACCTCGCCGGGTTAGGCAGGTACTTACTAGCACATGGGATCAGTTGTGCTAATTCTACACTCTTGCTTTTTGCAGAGATCCAGGCTTTGGTCAGCAGCAGCAGTAGATTGGGAGCATGCCTTTAGTCCAGAGAGAGATACTGAGGTAGCGTTGCAGGCGTTCGCGGGCCCGGCATATCTTTTATCTTGTCTTCAGTTTGTTATCTCTTGTATCCGAGACAAACATTGTATAACTTCTTTCAAACATTGTATTTAATAAATCTTAGTAGTCCGTGAGTGATGTGACACCAGGTTTTGGATAGTGTATTGTGTTGAACTTCCGCAGTATGATCCAATTTTTTCTTAAATGTTAAGTCTTCAGCTTTATTGTTTTAATTCAAAGGTTTATGTTGTTATTATTTACTGTGCAAGAGGTAATTAAGTGGCTTGCCTAGCTCCTATTAGTAGGCTCCATCACGACTTGCGAAGGTGGGAATTTCGGGTCGTGACATTTGTGCTTTGGCATTGATTTGCATATGAGCTATTGTTGTACTACTTTCTCCTCGGGAAATTTCTTTCCTCTAGGTTGTTGTTGGTTCACCATTATGTTATTGATCTGATTTTGCTGAATAGCCTGATTAAACTCCTTCTTGGTTCACCATTATGTTACTGGAATGCTCTTATTAGTAGCCATGTGCTGACTACCTTCTCCTTTATTTTTGGTTTGTTCCTTTTACTCGGTAACTCTATCCTCGCCTTGTCTTTCTGTTGGTTCAACTAAATTAATGTTGGAGTTGTCTCTTGCTTTAATTCTGCATTGTTCCTCCTTATGTCCCTGGTGTTTACAATATTTGCATTAATCTGGTACTCCTTCGTATACCAAAGGTTGCCAGTAACCATCTTCATCCCCTTCGTCATATCCGTTGGATGCTTCTTTTCTTATGAAAAATCTCATATCAAGGGATAATTAAAGCATCTCTTGTTATGGACAATAGTTTTTCTTACATTCTCTTCGAATATTTCATGTTATTTGTACATTATGCCCCTTTACAATTTTAAATTTATGAAAATAGTTTATTTAGATCTCTTATTTGTAAAAGTCAGACTCTTACGATATAAAAGTAAATCGCTTACGTGTTGAAAAAAGATAACAATGCAACATGCTCAAAAGGGAAAACATTATCACACCATTGTATAACTAACACAAACATTAAATGATGACTTAATTTTATTCATAACTTGTTACAACAAGCTCTAAAGCTGCAAGATTATTACTATTACATCTTGCGAGTACAAAGCTTCAGTGACCTTATCCATGGATGGCCTCACCTTTGTAGGAGCAGCACCTGCTGCAACCATAATAATTCCGGCGGCCGCAACAACCATAGCGGCAGTATCCTCCACCGCGTCCGCCACCTCCACGTCCACCACCACCGCGTCCGCCACCTCCACGTCCACCACCACCG